CTGCCATCTCCTCTAAAAATACGTTGTTGCACGCGCTAGACGAGAAAGGTACAATATCATTGTCAATGATGTTCCATGATACATTTGGTAAATTAAAGTCACCCAACACAATCAATGAATCAGAGGGTTTAATCATTGAATTAATTGATTTCAGTAAAGATACATGTTGTGAATACACCGATAAGTCAGATCGGGGAGGAATATAGCATAGAGCTAAGTAAGTAAACCCCCTTCCAACCTGAACACGAATGCATTTGAATTCTGCAGATTCAATGTGTGGAAGACTGACTTCTTCAGATGGTATTGAAGAGTCTACGGCAAAGAGTACGCCACCGCCGACCCTGTCCTCCCGATCTTTTCTGTAGATATGATAATTATTTGAAAGAATCTCTGAATTAAAAGTGTGAGGTTTGAGCCAAGTTTCAGTCAAAGAAATTATATTATAATTGCATTCAAGGCCATTAAGATATAAATTCGTTAATTTAGTATTTATGCCTCTTACGTTTTGATAATAAATACTTAAAGCAGATTTAGTAATCAGTTTTTTGGTTCTGTGTTCTGACGGGGAATATTTGCTAAATTATTATTTTTGTTGGGCCTATACTCAAATTCACGAACGAAAGCTCCGGAGGGCCAAAAAGAACTACTAAGCAGCATGTCAAAATTTTCTAAATTTACGTCTATTTTAAATGAAGAAATATTTCTTTCATATTTAAAATTAAATTTTCTGATACTTAAGTTGACAGTTTTAACTTTGGACAAGATGTAAAACTTTATATCGTCCTCGGAACTATCCCTCGAAAATCTAGATACAAATATAGACTTCTTTGGGGGAACCACAACCAGTCTCCTAGTATCAGACTAGATTACCGGCGGACGGGGTTGAGTAACTGAGTTACTAATTGAGGGTAGAGTAAGCGTTGGAAGATTAGATGGCGGTGCCACAACTTCAACGGGGGACGGGGAAGATACTGCAGGGTCGTTATTCTTAGAAGCAGACTTTGATATATGTTCTTTTGAGGAAGATAACTCCGTTGTCTGTGGACATGGAGAAGAAAGATTAATTAAGTCATTCGGAAGATTGTTCTGACGTGGAACGGTCCTTTCATTAGGCGGACTCTGAAGACGCTTACGTTTTGACACATGAATGTCCTTCATCGATTGTACGGTATCTAAGCATTTAAAAGATTTAAATACATTTTCATAATGTTTAAATTTTTCGGTCAGTACCGACAACTCTCTCCTTACCTCAGAAAACCCATTTCTGGTTTGCCTAAACAACTTAAAGAGATCAACTTCGGTTGACCTGCACTTTAAGCAAGACCAGCGAAGACCTTTGCCATCATTAATAGCGTCCAGAATTCTTCCTGTCAAACCAGCACATTTTAGATGGCAAATACCATCACAGAGCCAGCACGATAAGTAGCGTTCAGATTCGCTTTTAATTTGGCAGTTATCAAGATCACACTTCATATTGAAAGATTTAATAACACTTATGTTAATAAAACGACAAGCAAAAAAAGTTTAACACAACACACACAACAATTTAGGAGCTGATGTATTTAGCTTAAAAATATATGTAGCGAACAGTTTGAGTATCACTGTATTATGACACTTAATAAACGCAGCGCAAACAGCTGTGACAAGAAATACTAAACGAAGTAAACAAAAAGAGCAAAAAGAAATGTGCAAAAATAGAAACGATCTCAGTTAACTACAAAGGAATAACAACAACAATGATAACAACAAATGACTCGGCAAGATTAGATGTAAGCTAGTGAAATTTAATTAAATTTAATAAAAACCACAAAAATCACAAAACTTTCACTTAGCTTCGGTTATTATCACACTAGGATGCTCGTAGGCACTTTTTATAGCAACTTTTACTCAAAATTAGCACAATAAAATTTGCAAAATACAAAGACCAATCAAGGCACAAAATAAGTAGAACTTCACAGCTTGACGTTTGCGACAGTATACAGAACTTAAAGCATTTAAGCCCATAGTAAAACCATGGAAACAAAAAGTGAACCGGTTCGGGGAGAATGATAAGGCTGAATGAGAATGTGTGTGTGAGTTTGAATTTTGAATTTTAAAATTATATTGTTGGCAAACGTCAGACTGCCTCTCAATGGTTTTACCTTGTTATGTTTTTATCATGATTACAAACATAGCTAACATAACATTTAGTAAAACTAAAACACAGCTAGTAAAATAAAAAGAAATTAACTGCGTATAACGATTCATTATAATGTACAGACTTATCCGAATGTATGTCTCTTTACACATGCATACATATCGTCACTAGATACCAATAAAGACGCGAGCTCAAAAGTTGACAGCGAAAAAAGACGCATAAAAAAAATTTCGGCGAAGAAATAGGGCTTGTTCGAGTTGCAATCACAACCGCAGTGTTGCGCGAATTATTAAAGTATCGCGTTCTGTGTGAATTTCTAGCAATGTATTATCAGTTGGGCAGTTGCAACCATGTTGCCATTTCTCATCAGTACAGCAGTAATGCCGCTTTTATTACGTGCCTCGAACAGGCCCAGACTTTTAACATAGGTGACGGCAAAAAAAGCCGGTTAACCTCTTTGACGGCGAAGAAATACGCATAAACTTATATTCGCGGTCTACTATGTTTGCGAGTGAACAGTATACGAAATCCCTAAAGAGTTTTTCCGGAATGAGATTGAAGTCATGTTTACGCGTCTTTTCGCAAATTTTTTTCACGCGCCCTTTTTTCGTCGTCAAAACACCCGAGCTTCTCTTTCGTGTTTAGTGACGATATTATTATTATCACGTCGGAGATACTCGCGCTGCGACTTAAGAAGACATATTGTGCTAAATCCTAATTGTAATCACTCCAACCTTGGGCTATTTAAAAAGCTCAGCACTTTGAATGATGCCATGTTCCAAATTTAAGATGGAGAAGACAATCGTTCTCCCAGGTGTATCAATCTACGATTCATGCTTCGTGGGCAGGCACATAGAATATACTCTGGGGTTTCCTTCACCAGCCCACAAAACCCACAATCCGTCTCTATAGAGAGACCCATTTAATTCCAACAGCACGTTAACTTGCAGTGTGATGTCAGGTTGCCAGTAAGAGGTATAAGTTCAAGGTGTCTTTCGGAATTCCCCTGGAAAGAGTTATGCATCTCTCTAATTGTCTTTTTCCCTTTGACTTCCGCCAGTGGGCAGATATTGGAGGTTATTCCCAGCTAGTTTCTAAGTAGGTCTTCGGTGCATCCTTTAGATGTACCGCAGAAAGGCTCGGGACCACGCAGACGCATTTGTGCTACACACTTTGCGAGACAGTCAGCCCTTTCGTTGCCTTCAAACCCTTCATGTCCCTGAACCCTCCACAGCCTTAGGCTATTGTGGGCTCCCAGGTGGTTCAAGAGTTCACAAGCCTTGATGCCGTTTAAAAAGACTGTAAGGCCTGTAACACTGCCTGACTATCCGACACAATATTTATTCTGGCTACATTTTCCTTCTACGAAGGCATTCGCGAACACAGACTTCGATTGGGAAGACTTCCGCCTGGAATATGGTTAGGTATGAGCCCATTGGCAGACTTTTTTGGAATCTTAGTCCAAGTACGCCATAAATTATATCGCTACCTAAAGGTGAAAAGGTGCCAAGTCCATTTTTTCCAAACTTAAGTGTTTGATGCGGAATGGCAGGTAATATGAAACTACGTCGATTTTTCGTCTCTCCTGAAGAATTTGCAAAAATGGACTTGGCACCTTTTCACCGTTACGTGACGTATTGTATATTGACAATAATAAGGGTATAAGTTTGTACTTAGAAATCAGGTATATTTACATGTTTGCGGCCGCCGTTTTACTAAGGCATCGGTAAAATATTCGTGTAAAAAAGGTTGCTAAAATGTTAAGAGATACATATTTTCTGTTTTTCGCAAATAACTATTACTCATTGTCCCGAAACCTACCAAAATCCAATCAAGCCCATGTGTGGCAACACTGATCACATGCTTGATTTAGTGCATTGTGCGCAATGTTGGCAATGAGGCGATAGCAGGACTCAAAGGCTATGCAGCGCTACCTCGATGGCATTGCTTGTTGCATGCGTTAAGAATTGTCCATATGTACATATGTGAAAAAAGAATTTGGTAAAAAATACGATTTATTTTATGTAACTTTCGTGAGATAGGTTTTTGGAAGCGTATGATTACATATAAGTGATGTTTATTTGATGATTTTTTTTTGATGTTTATTAATATTTAGTGATGAGGTCTACTATTGAAATGAGTTAGAATGTGATCATATATATATCAAACATGTGCTCATTGGTTAAGGAACAAAAAAAGGATTACTGACTAATTAATAAAAGTGTTTAAAACTAATTTACCTTAAATCAATTGTCTTCCAATAAAATGATATTATGGAACCAACTTACAAAATTTCAGCCAAATCCAACAAAACTTGATGGAAATATATCTAATTGGTTTTAAAGTTGCATTTAAAGTCCGCAGTTTGCGGAAAATAAACAACAGCGTTGAGCGGCCTCTAAATCTTGTTCAAATAAGCTTAAAATTTAGGGGGAACTTGTCTTCATATTATCTTCAAGAATCCGAACTTTCTCAGTCGAAATTCAAAAGTCTTTTCGTTATGAATCACCCTAATGTACTTACATATCGATGCCTGAGTGGAAGATCAACCTATCTCGGCAGCCAGTTCGAAAACGCTCTATCTCAAAAAACTTTTCAAGAACGGCCTATTTCAGAATTTAATTGAAAAACACCATATCTCTAAATTCGGTTCAAAAACGCCCTATCTCACTTCAAAATGTATTGAAAATATGCTGATATAGGGCGTTTTTGAAACGAATTCTGAAATAGGGCGTTCTTGAAAAGTTTTTTGAGATAAAGCGTTTTCGAACTGGCTGCCAAGATAGGTCGATCTTCAACTCAGCCATCGATATATTGAATGCATTCAAGTTAAAAATTGTTAAGAATGAAAGTCATTACTTACCTTGAAAAATTATAAATATTAATGGTATTTCCATCCAGTGAAACATGTCGAAGGATTTTGTAAAGCCTTTAACATACGCCAATTTAAATTTGCAAAATCCCGTGCATTTTGGACACAGTCAGTTATAGCATATCTGCAAAAATAGAGTATTTACTTAAATACAGATGCTCGTTTTTTATGCTGTGGAAAACTATCCACTGAGGTATTAAACCTAAATTACAATTAGAAATGCCCAATGGCCTGAAATAAGCACGTAAACGGAAGCTACAGGGATCACTTTATCATAGCTTCTCATTCGAATTTTCCAAAAAATGTTTGAAGTGAAACTTCTTAATCGAATTCGGAGATGTTTGCGTTAAATATTTAACACCAAGTCATAAAATCTGTATCGTTCGTTCAATTTTCAAAAAGGAGGCAAGTGTCAAATGAAAGGGCTTGCCATGTGGATGTGTAATATGGTTTTAGTTTTGTGCCATATGTAAGAAAATCAGAATCAAATTATTAGATAAGTTAAATAAATTACCCCTATACGGGTATCAATCGAAATGGTTTTGAATAAACTTAATTATTTAATTACATTTAGGAGGGGTGCCTCCAGTTTGAAAAATCGAATCTAGTTAAATAAGTGTTGTGTTTAAAATACTATGCAACAATTTAAATATTTTTGAGGTGCTTGAACAGAGTGGCCACCTGTTTAAAAAGTTAAACTCAAATTACACTGTGGGACAGCCGAAACCAGCACGGACTTTCTTGACATTTTCTGAAAGCATACCCATCCATTAGTAAAACACTCGGTTGATTTGCAAAAGTTAGCTCGTATTTTTATTTTATAGCCTACTAAAGTTTTCATGTCTCGGCCTGAGTAGTGTTCAGAAAAGACGAAAAAATAGTTAAGATAAATGTCTGAGCGAATTTAAAGGTTAAAAGCGTCAGTTTGACCCTTACTTCAATAAATCCCGCAAAAAACAAATTTGGAAGGTCGTTAGAGGATTGATATATTCTAGAAAATCATTCTCCGGAAAATTTTACTAGGGGTCTTCTCAGGCAAAAGCTTCGTGCTACCAACGTAAAAGCCTCTAAAAGTTTAAAATAAAAAATCAACAAAAAACTATTTTTATAAAAAAAATTTTTTAAATTTTCTTGCCACAGATTTTTTTTCTCGATGCATCAGATCGAAAAACATGTATTTTTTTACTTGCATCTCTAAGACAAATGGAGTGCCACAAACAGTGATGGTAAATGTGGCCAGAGAGAAGAAAGTTGAAGAGTTGATTTTTTGGAAATAAAGATGAAATTCGAATTTTTCTAGAAAAATTCGATTTTATCCGAATTTTAGTAACACAAAGTTCGACTTCAAAAATTCGCCATTTTGGAGCTAAAATTCGAATATCGAATTTACCCATCCTTAAGCTAAACAGCCCGAAGGTGGCCAAGCAAGCGCCCCCATACTGGGATACATAGTAAATATGTATGTATTAAACTCCTGCGCAATTCCATTTAAACGGCCTAACAAGACATCCGATCGCCGCGCAAATACTTTCCCTCCTTTACTCTCATCGTTCGGGTCAAGTGTGAGTAAGCATAAACCAGTTTCTGCAAGCGTACGTAAACTACCGATCAATAGCAAGACGCGTAGAGTATTTACTTTGCCTTCCGCAACTACTGCGAGTAAAAGGTATTTGACAGTAGAGTACTCTACTGGTAGTACTTGAGTATTTTCGAAGAAAACATACATTTGTGGTATCTGAATACAACTAAGGATAGAAATGTAGTGGGGCCATGAAGGGAGCGACGAGCAAAACGTACTTTCAACTAAAATGCTGATATACATACCTAAGTACATATCACACACCGTCTTCAAAAGAGTCACAACTCAAAATTTGGCATTATTGAGATTTTGCGCTCAAAATGTACGCAGAGCTTTTATTTACCTTTCAGCAGAATCTGGAGCAAATTTTGTTATAATTTGTTAAAAAAAAAACCTAAGGTAAAGTAGCCCTTGCCCATATGATTATCATGTGTTAAGAAATAGTTTTTCGCATTTTCTGACAAACGTATTATTTTGAGTTGTGACTCTTTTGAAGACGGTGTGCGATATGTATGTATGTTTTTTTTTTTTTTTTTTTTTGTAGAGGTGGCACAAAGCATTGAAAGCCGAAAAGTGTGGGACTTGCCTTTCAGCTCACCGCACTAAAAACCCACCCCTGCTCCGTTTCCCTCCCACCGTGGAACTACCGTAAGGTATTACTTCGCGGAGTGGGAGCGGCCTATTGCCAATCTATGAAATTCTGCGGAGTTGTTCCGCTCGACGCAATTTAGATGAAATTGTGCTTGCCAAATTGCAAACAACGGACCAGTTATCTTCTGACTCAAGCATAGTATCCACAAGGTTATGAACCGTAAGTGGCCTCCCCACCTTCCTGCTCGAGTCATCCCTTTCGATTGCAAACCTCGGACAGACGAAAAAGCAGTGTTCAGCGTCTTCAATAATATCCTTTGCACAGAAGGTGCAGAAGGGATCGTCTTCGTGCTTAAATCGGTATAAATATGATTTAAAGCGCCCATGCCCTGTCAATATTTGGGTCAAATGGAAGTCCACTTCCCCATGCTCCCTACTTACCCACCTTGATGTCGAGGGTATGAGGCGGTGCGTCCAACGACCGCTGGCTGCGCGGTCCCACCTCGTTTGCCATTGCTGCAAGCACCTCTGTGTCACCTCTTCGCGTCTCGTTCGGTTTATAGGCCTGGGGCCTGTCACTTCCACTAGAATGTCAATGGGGCAGAGTCCTGCCACCACTAGTGCTGCTTCTTCAGACGTAGTTCGGAATGCACTGCATACTTTGATAGCGCAAAATCTGTGCAAAGACCTTGCTTCTCGTACATATGACGTCTTGCTGAACGCTTCATACCAGATTTGTGCACCATAGAGCAGCACACTGCGCACGACGCTTGCGTATAGCTGCCTACGCTGTTGTTTCGGGCCTCCTACGTTCAGCATAACCCTTGTTAGTGCCCCTGCCACCTTTTCGGCTTTCTCGACAGCATAATCAATGTGCGTCTTGAAGGTAAGCCTCGCATCAAACATTATGCCTAGGTATTTTAGGGCCACACATGATATTCCAAAGAATTGGACCCAGAACCGAACCCTGTGGTACTCCAGCCGAGACTTTATGTTCTTTGACACCGTTCCCCGTATTGTACAGTAGCACTCTATTTGCTAGGTAGTTGTCTACAATCTTGCGAAGGTATGCGGGTACCTCGAATCTGCGTAGAGCAGCGTTTATGTGTTTCCAACTTGCAGTGTTGAAAGCATTTTTTACATCGAGGGTGACAAGCAAGCAGTACTCCTTTGCTCCTCCCTTCCACCTTTCGCCACTGATTGCATCTTCCGCCAACAGCTTTACTAAACTGGCTACATCTACAGTTGACCACCCCTTTCTGAAGCCGAACTGTGTCTCTGAGAGGCCTCCCTTTTCCTCTATTGCTTCTAGCAGTCTATCGCTGATTATGCGTTCGACCAACTTGCCCGTCGTATCCAACATGCATATAGGACGATATGCTGAGGGATCTTCTGGTGGCTTCCCAGTTTTCGGCAATAGAACTAGCCGCTGGCGCTTCCATGCATCAGGAAATACTCCTTCTTTAAAGCATTCGTTAAAACTATCGACGAACACTTTAGGGTTCGCAGCTACAGCAAGCTTGAGGACACGATTTGGAATTGCAT